ACGGGAAATTAACAAACAACCAGAGGCGTAACAATAGTATAACATAATTCACCTGTTAGTGTTTCAGTGGGTAGTGAATCATTAATATTGAATGAATATTCAAAACAAAAAGGTAATCAATATCAAGCTCTGATACAATAACTATAGTTTTTCTACTGTTTGGACTGAATGCTCAGTCATTAGGAAGTTCATCAGTAAGGGGTATCATTCTAACGGAATTGTGTGACCTCAAAATTAATAAAAAAGCTTGGGTAATATGTGGGTATTTATAATATTTAATACAGGTTTTAGATTATGTGATTGTATTTGACCAGTTAAAAAATAAGTGGTCATTTAACTGGTCAACTGACTAACTTGCCAACCCTGAGTTTAATCTCTAATTATAAAGTAAGCCATAAAGCTGGCATGTTCCTCTTTTACTCATTAAAATATTTTTAAAAGTTCCAAGCAAATCACAATTCTGAAACTATTTTCTACTTGTATTTTGAAATATGAATGTTGTGCTACAGGAAATATCTCCCATTGTTCAACTGACAGATAAACATTTTTTATTTAGTTTTTGGTCTTTCTTGAACTTCAAAATATGAGAGAAACTTATAATGTCAACCACTACTTAGTCTGTTGTATCCCAGCCAATCTGATGAACCCTAGTACTGGGCTAAAGGCTTCATCAGCACTCGATACGGCAAATATAGTATACATGCTGAAATACACGTCAACTGATGGCATATGTTTAAACTTAATTAAAACAACGCAAGTCTAACAGCAATCATATATTTCAAAGTAATAACTTGAACATAAATTTTATCTCAGAATTTAAAAATTATAACAAAACTTCTCCATAAACAACATATGCAGTTGGCTTTCCATCTACCAACAAATAAAGTTTTTTTAGGTAATACAACACCCTTGAACACCTTATATCTCATTGACCATGAGAAAAGCATAGTTGTTTGAGAAATAAATGTGTAAATGTAAATTCTAGCTTCTAAAAGTGCTTAGATTAGGGTATGTTTTGAATTTCTATGTACTTGTTTTTTTATCTCACACATCTTTTAAAGTATTGTGAAACTAAAATTTTGAAATCTGAGTGTGTCCCCCCTTATTAAGAGAAAATTAAATGATTTTAGAAATCCAATGAGCCCTGTATGAGGGTTTGCTAACTTTGCTAATTTAGCAAACTTATGATATAATAAAAGGATCTAATTATTTTTAACTTCTCACCAAAACAAGCTACCTACTAAACATTAACCCAGTCATTATTACAGCTAACCAGGAGTATTCAGTGTCACAAAACAAAATAATATATTTGTTTTGATAAATTATTGAACCATTATTTACATCACCTTACATTAATTTTAACTATGAACAACTCTACTATATAGACATGTAGAAACTGGCAACTAATAATTTAGAATTACATTTTCAAAAAGGTAGAGAAGCTTTTTACCTCTCTAAAGAGAGCTCCATAGAATTGTACGGTAAAATCACAATCACCACTTCTCATAGAGATATCCAATTCCCTCAGAAGTCGCTTCTCTTCCGAACTACTGAAAGTTGCAGTAATCCTCTGTGGCATGTCGAAAAGAGAACACTTGTAAATCATTCAAGTATTTAAAACATTCATCTCATATTTTGTTGACTCTTAACCTGTTATAAAGAACTATAATATCTATGGATGATGACACTACCAGGTAGCTACTCTTCTAATGTATACCAGACGAGGGAAAAGTTAGTTGCCCCAATTCAAATTATATACACTGAACACTGCAAAAGATAACAGGAATTTATAACTGTAACAATGAAAACCACTTTTTTGAAATAAGGCCAAACACTTCACCAGTTCTCTTTTTTTTATGCAAATCTGAGGAACTGCCATCTGACCTGTGATTCGTTATTCAGCTTAATGAACATCTGGGAGAGGTGGCATCTCATGATGTTTCAACAAATATGAAGAAATGATGCCATAAACAGTAAAGAGAACCTGGAATTTAAGTGTGTATAGTTATAATTGTTATACCAAGCTATTAACATCATCTCCTTTCATCCTGATATAAACAGATAAATACAAGCTTTATACATATCAACCATCTGTTCAATGGCTCAGTCAAACTGACCAACTGTGTATCTGTAACACTATATATAAAATTGTGCTTACTATATTCTGAATTTACTATCAATGTCTTCACGAAAACTGATTACTTATTAGTAAACATTACCAATCTGTAGTACACAAAAAACTTGTTTTTTAATACAATTTTTTACTAAACATTTGTCTGTGAATTTCCAAAGCCTTTACTCAGTCAGTCCGATTGAAAGGAGTATTTCATATTAAGAATACTTATCATGTTAAAGTTTTCACATTTCATTTGTATAAACTCTAGAACCTCCTAAATAAATATCAAAAAGTTGAAAAAATGTGAAATAAAATGAATAATACCATTTTTTCTCAGCATTGGCTGAAGTATTATTCTAGATTACTTACAACACATCTATTTCCTTTTAATTTTATTACTTTACTTTTATAATTGTTAATCCAATATAACACAGCAGGGCCCATTAGCTGTTTCCCATAGAGCTACCATACACAACACATGATTGTAAAGTGTCACGTTAGATATGGACAAGTTCGTGAAAGTTTAGACATTTTATTTTACTGTGGTTTTAAGATAACCCAAGAAGTTTTAATCTTTAAATGTTAGTTACTTTGTTAAAACAACAAATAACAATAACTGATATAAAAACAAGGATTCATAGTACTTAATATGTACCCAAACTTGTTTGCAGTTGTAAAAACTGAAGATATTCTATCGGAAGCCTCGTTCAGTCCCACAAGCTTGGGTTCCAAAAAATAATTCATGTATCTTTCAAATATACATTTTAGAACACAACATACCAGTCATTAGAATAAAACATCCAAAAACCACTATCTGTAAGATATAAATAGGTTAAAATTCCTTTAGCATTCAGACAATCAGTTTACACTGAGAAAACTAAAGAGTGACTTCTAAGATCTACGAAGAGGATAACCTGCTTTTCTATTGGTTATGAACATGTAAAGTCAGAGAAAGGGCAGAGTCTTCTATGGTGGGTTTGACAATGTTATGGATATCTCAAAAGAATTTTAGATACTTGCTTGTAATTATGTATAGTTTGTTTCTGATTAGCTGGAAACTGGAACAGTGTATTTTTGATGTTAGAAATAATGAAGGTAGAAATCAGAGATTATTTGTAACAAGTAACACAGAAAAAAGAAAACTGATAATTTTTGTAATATTTCTTTTTGAAATTAGCAAGTTAAGAATAGGATAATATACAAATCTGAAATATAAACTATGTTTTCAAGCCAAGTTTATTAGCATATATTGAGGATAAAGCTGTTTCATTAAATTTTGAGTGTACAATACTATCGTGACATGCACAAAAGAGCCAGGCCCAGAAGTTAACAGCCATGAACTAATATCATCACATTTCCAGCTAAACTAAATTTTAATATGAAATCAAATGTTAACAGCAATAAGTGTAAGGTTTAGAAGCTTTGATCTTGAATTATTCTTCAGCAAAACTACTTTTATTTTGGTTATAAACTTATGGAGTGGTTTCTCTAAAAGTACAGCGTGTACAACTAACTTAGATTAATTCACATGTTTGTTGGATAGATCCAGAGGGATGAAAATACTAAACTCAATGTTTTAATGGATGGAAGGGTAACTTTTATCTTTATGCTATTTATAACAAGATGTTTGAGTAAGTAACAACAGCAATAATAACACCCTTATATTGATAGCCTCATTTCTTCAACTGAAGCAAGTAAAAATATCAGAATTAACACTTGAAAGATAGTAAAATTTTATTTCCTTAGTCATTTGAGATACCTAAATACCAGAATACAAAACTAGAATGTACTTTAAACTGTAAATGTAACATATACACGGTAATGAAAATAACTATGGAAACAAACTCGATAAACAAACAGGAATAAGAAATAATGAGTAATAACAACCAAATGGTAAATTTATTAATGGCATAAAATCACAGATAAAACAACACTCTAGTAATAATCAGAACCACCAATTTTGATTAGTTGATTATTTTCATGAGTATGACACTAATTGATAAAGCCTTGAATTAAACAAAAATAATAATCAGTAATCAGAATACAAATATTTCATACTAGCTGGAGTACTCGTTCATTGGATAGATGAAATAAAAACTTTGTAACAAAGGACAGGTAATTGTGCATCTATTTTTTTTCTTAACATAATAAACATTAAAAGTGCAATAAAAATATGTAAAGGTACAATACTGAAAAGAAAGACATTGTTTTCAAGAATTAGAAGTGGAGTCCAACCCCCCCCCCCCCTCCATGACCTTCCTCATGTCATCCTGTATCACTGTGTCAAGTCTGGTGCTGATTAATCAAACATATAAGGAACAGATGGCTGAAAGGTGCAAGCAGACAGACAAACTTAGCTCGATATATTGGATAATTGGACAGTTGAAATAAGAGAAAACAACAATAATCAGAAGCACTAATTTCCGAGTAATTATTTTTGAAACATTAAAAGATGTATTGCAATTTCGATTAACCAATTATTTTAAGTGACCTGAGCCAATGTAATCACCCAACTCTATTACTGGGAGTAATATGACTGCCTGTACTTTTATAGGAGTTATACTCATGTGGCACTTTATAATTGGTAGGATGACAACCAATCACAGAGTCACTTATCAACATGTGACTTTACTTTGGTGGTGTTCATTTCATACCCTTTGCCCTCATTATTTCAATAATTGTTTCCAATATTGTGTGTGTGTGTTTGTAGATATCTAATCTTCACAGTAAACAACAACTATGGGTAGTTTTGTAAAAACAAAAAGAAAAATTAGTTTTTTGTTGCATTCACTATGGAATTTGATACACTTTATTTCAGTTTAACTACACTCTTTGTTATTGTGTATGTGTGTTCTACTGTACAGAGTTCTAGATATACTTTAATACTTTTACTTTTATTTCAACATATATAAACAATTAATTCTTGTTCATCTGAAGTTTTTCAACAGAACAAAGAACTTTCTTTCTTTACATGGTACTTCAAACACGTGAGTCACAATATAAATAATTAACTACAGGACATGTAACATCTGAATAAAACACACACCTTTACTGCCATTACTGTTCCACTTGGTCTGTGCAGCATCTTCTCTACAACACCGTACGCACCTCTACCCAATGTACACAAAGTTTCCAAATCATCTGCTTCTACTTCAACTACTTGATCGTCAATTGTGACTGTTGTTCGTTTATCCAGATTCCTTGGAGGGGTGCTTCATGAAAAAAATTTGGTATAAACTTTAACCACTTTTATCTTTATAACATGCCTTAAACCTTATTTAAATGTCAGTAACCACTGAGCACAATGATTTTCACATTGTAATAATTGGTAATATATATTTTACCATTGCAACACTTGGTAATATATATTTTACCATTGCAACATTTGGTAATATATATTTTACCATAGTGATGTTTCATATTTTATTTTAAAGTGGAATGCTTCAACAGATTACCTGTTGTAAGCTAAACTTACAATAAAAAACTCAATGGTGCCAGTTGGTAAATATCAAGAGTAAAGAGCACTATACAAAAATGCCACCATGAAAGCTATAACACTATATAAGCTATGTCACACATGCCTACTGCAAAGCATGCAGCATATAAGAACCATACATAAAGAAACTCATTACAACACTCCAAGTATGAGGGCACACCCACTGTTCTAAGCTGTCTGATTATGTAACGTCATATTAACTTCTGATCAGATCGAGCTACATACTTCGTGAGTATAGCTAAATAAACACAATTTTCTTCCTTGTGAAGATTAGAATGCATCATTTCATCATATGAATACCCTTGTTGTTAGCGGCATTTTCACTCGTAAGCTGACTACTATCTCATGATGTTGTGGCAAGTTTCGAAATTTATGTTAGTCCTAAAGCCATATATAAAAAAACATTCTCTATGATAACAAATACTGTTAATGAAAGTGTCATTAACCAATACTAGATATTATAAATATTCTAACCAATACTGTTGATGAAATTATCATTAACCAATACTAGATGATATAAATATTCTGATCAATACTGTTAATGAAAGTATCATTAATTAATACTACATATTATAAATATTCTAATCAAACAGTTTGTACTCCTCTGTTCTGTATTGTTGTTTATTTACTATTACATTTATTAGATACGTTTAATTAATCAACAATGCTGTTAAAAATAATTGACTGATATCACTCTTGTTACTTTGTTATAGTCGAAGGTGTATATTTACGTTCTAATCAAACAGTTTTTACTACTCTGTTTTGTATTGTTGTTTATTTACTATTACATTTATTAGATATGTTTAATTAACCAACAATGCTGTTAAAAATAATGGACTGATATCACTCTGATATAGCGTTGGGAACCAGTAACATTTCCTTAGAATAAAGCAATTTATGAAGATGTTACGACAGTGGAAGTCACGTGACGCTGGTAACACGTCATGAGTTTCTAGAAGGATCATGACTTTTTCTGGCAAGTCTAGTCTTTTCTAGGTGCTCTCTATTTTAGTATATATAGATATAGAGACAAATAATCGAGTCAAGTGAGCAGTAGTAACCATAAGTAAAGTTTGTGAACCATTGTGAATTATAGCATATGTTTAAGTTAAAGTAACTGTGGAAATTAAGTATATTACAAAGTTTGTAACGAGAAAGAATAAACTAGTTTTAATTAAGAATGAACTTGTATTGCTGAAGTTTCTCGGAAAGAATTTTTACGGGAAATTAACAAACAAGCAGATACTTAACAAACTGGTGTCAGAGAGGGGGATGGGAAAAAAAAAAGAGGTGGCAAATCAAACTACAGCTTAGTAGATTTGATGGCAGCAATACAAGAACAGCAAATGAAACAAGAAAAACAAGAAAAGAAACAAGAGGAGAGATTACAGCATTTGATGGAGGAAAAAGAAAATAAACAAGAAGAGAGACTACAGCAGTGGTTGGAGGAGAAAGAAAAGAAACAAGAAGAAAGGCTACAGCAGTGGTTGGAGGAGAAAGAAAAGAAACAAGAAGAGAGAGATTACAGCAGTTGTTGGAGGAAGAAAAAAAGAAACAAGAAGAATGAGATAAGAATCAAGAAGAGAGATTACAGCAGTTGTTGCATGAAAAAGAAAAGAAACGAGAAAAATGAGAAAAGAAACAAGAAGAGAGACCACAGCAGTGGTTGGAGGAGAAAAAAATAAACAAGAAGAGAGATTATAGCAGTGGCAACTGGAACAAGAAAGGAAACAGGAAGACAGTCTCCAACAGTTGCAGGAAAGTCAGCAGCAACTACAGGAAAGTCAACAACAGTGGCAAGAAGTACAAATGGAAAACATTAATAAATTTCAAAATGAATTAAATACATTTAGAGATGATTTAATGTCTTTTACACAAGGAGGATATATTAGCTATCGACCTATTCAGCCTCTGACAATAGGAAGCCCCTTCCAGACCCCACAGCTAAACACTAATGCAGACATCTTCAGTCCTGTCAGAAGTCACATTCCAGACACAAGTGTCAGCAATAGGGGTGATCTAGTACAAAGGAAGACACAGGAATTCGATGGGAAGGCACCATGGGAAGAATATAGAGCACAATTTGAGCTACTGGCAAAAATGAATGGATGGACAGAGGAGCAGAAAGCAGTGTTACGACATGTGTTTCTAGAAGGATCATGACTTTTTCTGGCAAGTCTAGTTTTTCTAGGCGCCCTCTATTTTAGTATATTTTAAGCCCGGCAAATAAAGCAGAGAAACAATTTGCAGATAGAGAGATAGAGACAGATAATTGAGTCAAGTAAGCGGTACTGACCGTAAGTAAAGTGCGTGAATCGTTGTGAATTATAGCGTGTGCTGAAGTTAAAGTGACTGTGGAAATTAAGTATATTACAAAGTTTGTAACGAGAAAGAATAAACTAGTTTTAATTAAGAAAGGACTTGTATCACTGAAGTTTCTCTGAAATAATTTTTACGAGAAATTAGCAAACAAGCAAATACGTAACAAAGACTATAATACTGATAATTGTGGTTAATTATTTTGTTGTAATCAATGAATCACCCATAATATTTAGCTGTAACTGTTCATATTTAGCCCTGTGTGAACAGCATTGGTCCTATGTATAGTAACATTTACTACAATTCCTTATTGATCAAGTGCATCTTCGTGAAATTTGGCAGGCTTAGCAAACATTAGAAGTACATTGTACACAAAAAAAATCCAATTTTTATGAAGCATTTTAACTAAAGATTTTTCTGTGAATTTACTGAGCGAGTCTAATTCTGACTAGTCTAAGTGCAAAATGATACAAAATGAATTTTTTTAAGTTTTCTTATATAACCTCATAAGATTATAATTTTTACATTTTAGTGATTTTTGTTAAGAAACATATAACAAGAAATAAAAAACAAGAAATTTACTACTGCTTTATGGACTTATTTGTACTCAAAAACATACTTCAGTAAAATTGACTTTCACACTATGTTGGTTATCCAAAAATAATTCATGTAACTTTCAAATATCCACTTCAGAATACAACAAGCAAGTCAAACACTATTTCAGAATGTCCAAAAACTACTATAATTTACCTGGGTTTCTATCTTTCATAAAAATAGGTTAAAAAAATTTCATTACTTCTCAAAGGAATTTCTTCTGTCCAAACCCAATGAGTTCTGACCACATATTGTCAGATTTTACAAAACAGACAATCATATGATTTAATTAATATATAAATAGCTCTTGCTACTGGTTATAAACATGTCCAATAGTAATGACAGACATTTCTTGAAAAACAGAGGGTATATGAGGAGCATTTCAATGTGGGTTGAACAAGTAAATCAAAAGGTTGAAATTTTATATTTTGACTATTCAATATCTGTAACACATATTTGTCATTGGTTGAACAACCTGAAGTCCTTGTGTTGGAAGAGACAAAATCTGTAAATTAGAAATCACAGTGCTGCCAAGTCATGTGACTTTTAGAGGTGCAGATTGATAATTTATCTAAATATTGTTATGACAGCGGAAGTCGCATGCACGCTGGAGTTTCTAGAATTATCGGGGAACCCTGCGAATGTCTTAGTGTTTGCTAGACGCCCTCTTTTTTAGTATATAAGCCTAGCCAAGAAAGCCAGCGATATAGGCAGATAGACTGAAGATAGAGATAACCGAGTCAAGTGAACAGTAGGCACCTTAAGTAAAGTGTGTGAATCACTGTGAATTATAGCGTGTTTTATAAAAGTAGTTAAGTTAAAGTGACTATGGAAATTCTATGTATAACAAAATTGTATCGAGAAAGAATAAACTAGTTTTATTTAAGAAAGGACTTGTATCACTGAAGTTCTTCGGAGAGAATTTATACCGGAAATTAACAAACGAGCAGATATGTAACAACATATTCTTTTAAAATTACAAAATTAAAACTTCAATAACAAAACTCTGAAACATAAACTACATTTTTATGCCATAATTACTGAAATACATTAATAACAGTTATTTAATTAAAGTTTCAATGTAACTCTGTAAAAAGGTCATGAAATTCATATTTTGACCCCTGCCACACACATAGGATTAATTTTTTGAATATCATTTCCATACTCAATTAATATTATCTCGTTTACACCAAGATCTTCAAAGAATAAAAACATTCCAATACTTTGTAGTTAATTCAGTTTACAATTATTCATGTTCCTCTAAATATACAAGATATCTAAGTGCAAGTGGCAACACTGGACTTAAGGTTTTTTTCATCTGCTATTAGATAATATTCATAAATTAGTCTAAAATAGGTGATAATTAATAAACACAGAAAGGCTTATATACAAGAACTTTAAATAAAAACATTATTTTTAACAGTATGTCTACTCCATAGGAAGAGGACAGCCTTCTGGTACTTTTAATAATAAAGGACTGGCATGAGTGACAAAAAAAAGCCAATATTGTAAAGTATTCAAGTAGCATCTCCTGGAAATACATAGAAAAAATGTAACTCTTTGACATCAATATCTGAACAATGGAGTCAATACAAACAAAATGTGTATGCATCAGAAAATTTTCATATTTCACATGCAAAATCTTTAAAATGTCCAGAATGGTAACAAATAGTACAATGATAATAACTCCATGCACTACACACCTTTATGGTGTGTAGTGCATGGAGTTATTATCATCGTACTATCATCATATTCTTCAAATTTTCACAACAAATACTCAGAAATACACTACATTAATAATGATATGGTAGGAACTTACACAGAAGGGATATTTCCTTCTTCTGTGTTTATCACTAATTTGGAGAGTTTCCTTCTTCCTGTCAAACAAAGAACTTCTTAATTAAACAACATCATATACTTTCCTGACCAATAATTTCTCCCAAATATTTTATGCTTCTACATTTGAAGATTAAAGATTATGTAATTTGAAAGCATTAAATTATTAAAGAAAAAAGAAATAAAACTCAAAAATAATCATTTCTATACTAGCAAATTTTTTACTATATCTCTGCTGTTCTTCAAGACCTTCACACAATTACAATAATGAATATGCTTCATAAACCATTGGTCAGATAAGAAAGAATGATCCTTGCCCCCCCCCCTTCATTTTAAAATTTAATTTTCAAAGCAACTTTGTTTACTCAGCAATTTTCCAAAGTGAGGTTTGTATTTCATTACAGTTAATATACAATAATATTAGTGTCATTTTTATAATACATTTAAATAGTTACGTTTCATTACAGTTAATATACAATGATATTAGTGACATTTTTATGATACATTTAAATAGTTACGTTTCATTACAGTTAATATACAATAATATTAGTGTCATTTTTATGATACATTTAAATAGTTACGTTTCATTAGTTAATATACAATAATATTAGTGTCATTTTTATGATACATTTAAATAGTTACATTTCATTACAGTTAATATACAATAATATTAGTGTCATTTTTATGATACATTTAAATAGCACATTAAGTAGTAAGTTATCTATAATCATTATTTTTGGCAATATATTCAAAACATTATACTGTTCAGGGCAATACCTTCCAATTGCCAATATTTATGGTAATCCATCAAACAAGTTTATTCTGTGAGGTTCACTCTATTTTTTCTATAGAATTACTTTAATTAGTTGAATTAATTAACTAAATTAATTAGTTTGTTGAAATCTATATTTATTAACTTTGATTATTTACACTCTTTGCTTGATATATTAAGTTACAAAATTATTGTATATATATGTGATGCATACATAAATATATTTGACTGTCTTCTTTTATTACCAGTGTTGATAGAAATGTTTAATACATATATTATCATACTTTTAATACAAAGAATATTTACATCATTGGTTTAACATATGGATTTATGGCTAACTTGTATCTCCTAAGTTGATTGAATCTTGTGAAATCTCATACTGCAGTATAATACTTGAAAAGTTAGTTTAACTGGTGAAATAGTAGAAAATCAATAGGCCTAAAAATTGTGGAAGGCAAAAAACCTAAAATGTTTTTTTTTTACACCACCTCCAATTTCAAGCTGCAATAGATAACTTAAGATGAATGTGTAAAAAATAAATAATCATATAATTAATTTGTTTTAATAACAAATTTTTAGGTCTACAGTCTATGTACTGCAAAATTTTCACTTTTAAGCAACACCAGGAAAGATTTCTACACTACACATTTAATACACAACCTCAAGATACATCACATCACTGAATACAATGTTTGCTAAAGATGGCTAAGAAAAGGAAAAAAGCAGTACCAAAGAAAAAAGAACCCATCAAAAAAGCTATCATTGTTCCAAGCACTAAAATATTCAGAGAAATTAGATTGTGAAGATTCCTGAGCAAAATTAATTATTGTCTGTTTAACAGAATTTATAGCTCTGAGAACCATTTTTTTTTGTAGAAAATACTGGATTCTGCCATCTCATCAAATGTCTGGAGCCTTGTTACTCACTGCCCAACAGAAGGTACAAGTTCACAAATTCAGCAGTTCTCAAAAACCTTTGTCAAACTGTTTACAACATGGAAACTTCCAAGTGTAAAAGTTCTTGTGATTAAAAATGATATTAGTGTCATTTTTATGATACATTTAAATAGTTACGTTTCATTACAGTTAATATACAATAATATTAGTGTCAGACTTCAATTTAGCAACCATGCCTTGTATACCACATACACTCCAACTCACTGTGATTGAAGATGTGTTACCACAGTACAGCATGTCCAACATACCAAGCAAAAAATTGTTGGAAACTTTAAACACTCATCTGCAATTGGTACAGGCTGGGCTCCAAATGCTTTCTAAGAGTTAAGGCAGAATATACATAGATGGAAGAGTACTTACTACACGCTGCAAAGCATTTTTTGGAGCAGAAGCTTGCTCTTGGAACATATGCTGCTAACTATAAAATCCCTGCAATCCTCACTGTGCATCAGTGGGGGTTGATTGAAAGAGTAGTAATAGTTCTAATACCTTCACATGTGAGGTAAGTTCCTCCCTGACCACTGATTCAAAGTGAGAAACAATTACTTTAATATAAACATGGTGCAGCAAAACTGAGTCAGAACCAGTTACTTTAATAGAAATGTGGTTCAGCAAAATTGAGTCAGAACCAGTTACTTTAACAGAAATGTGGTTCAGCAAAATTGAGTCAGAACCAGTTACTTTACTAGAAACGTGGTTCAGCAAAATTGAGTCAGAACCAGTTACTTTAACAGAAATGTGGTTCAGCAAAACTGAGTCAGAACCAGTTACTTTACTAGAAACGTGGTTCAGAGAAGTTGAGTCAGAACCAATTATTTTAATAGAAACATGGTTCAGAGAAGTTGAGTCAGAACCAGTTACTTTAATAGAAATGTGGTTCAGAGAAGTTGAGTCAGAACCAGTTACTTTAATAGAAATGTGGTTCAGAGAAGTTGAGTCACAACCAGTTACTTTATTAGAAACATAGTTCAGCGAAGTTGAATCAGAACCAGTTTCTTTAATAGAAACGTGGTTCAGCAAAGTTGAGTCAGAACCAGTTACTTGAATAGAAACGTGGTTCAGCAAAGTTCAGTCAGAACCAGTTACTTTAATAGAAACGTGGTTTAACGAAGTTGAGTCAGAACCAGTTTCTTTAATAGAAACATGGTTCAGCGAAGTTCAGTCAAAACCAGTATTTTTTAATAGAAACATAGTTCAGCAAAGTTGAATCAGAACCAGTTACTTTAATAGAAACGTGGTTCAGCAAA